AAATAAAAACTAATAATCCTATTGATTCCTAAAATAAAAAATATTATAAAAAGAACAAAATTTTTTTCAATATTTTTTATTTTATGATTTTTTGGATATTTTTATGAATAATTTAGAAAAAAGTGAAAAAAATAATATTTTAAAAAATGATTTAATTAAAATACGAAAATAATAATTAAATAATAATAAAAAACTATTTTTGTTATTTTTTTAATGAAAGATAGAAAAATTTAGAGTAAAAATAATAAAAAACAAAAAAAAGTGACAAAGGTGAGATTTGAACTCTCAACCTCTCACACTCATAACTCCTTACACATGTCCTCCTGCCAATTGTGCCATTTTTACTTTTTAGAAAAAAAATGCATGCCATATGATATTTACCTGCAAAAAGTCAAACGACTACACAAATTTGTTAGTAATTGATTAAATGCAATGAAATGCGACGACAAATCTTAGGGCAAAATTTGGGGTATTACAGTTATTATGATAATATTTCTCACCCAACCTCTCTTTGATGTTGGCAAAAAAAAAAAAATCATGAAGTTTGACTTTGGTTTGACCTCAGTTTGACCTTTTAACTGCATTGACTGCTTTTGACTTATCTGATCATCTGACTGAGCAAACTTTTGAGAAAAGTCTTGAAACTTGACATGAGGGTTCTTATACACATATAAGATGTTATGAAGCTCACTTGAAGTCTTGGAAGTCCATTTAGCCTGATTAAAGTCAAAACCCTAGTTTTGGATGCACTGCTTAGGAGGTGCATTGTCTGAGGGAATTGTCAACTCTTCTGACCAATTGTGAATTTTGTGAACCTTGTGAACCTTCTTGGAACACAAAGTCTTGTATTGTGAGGGCAAATTTTGGGGTGCAACACCTAGCCAATTAGAGAATTTAACAGTTAAAGGAGTTCAGATAAATAGCTCTAGGGTCAGTAGTCATTAATTATCAATATTAGTTTGAATGTCGTATCAATCAAAGAACAATGAGCAAAACCAATATTCCTTAAAACATCTTCTTAGCCCCCATATTCCTCTGGGAATTCCGTAAAGAAAAAGGAGTCTATGTCTTGGTGTTCATCCAAGCTCTTACCACTTTTATCCGATCACACAGAGCTCTTTAAAATCGTGTTTCTCATTCTTCTATTTTCACCTCAACCCAACAATTACCTTCAATTCCTATGCTAAACATTTAAGGACAAAGCAACAAACAAAACTAGACACAATCCACAACAATATTAGACTCAACCAAATTCAACACCATGACAATAAATAATAGCAAATCTAGTTGAAGATGTCCATAATCTAAAGATTAGGACTTCAAACCTAGTCAACACCAGAATCACCCATTGTTAGTCACAAGCACTTTAAACCCAGACAAGCACCAGAATCTATGATCAGAAATGATGAAGAGACCTCATCTAAATTGCAACTTAGAGTAAATTGAGGTTCAATAATTCTATGATTGTTGAATGCCAAGCCATATTTAATAATATTAAACTAATAAAATTGATGAAGATTAATATGGTGAATCCTTGACTTTTTTGTTTTCTTGTGTTAAAAAAGTACATGTGCGTTCCACAGGATTTCCAAAAAAGAAAAACGTCAAAAGAAAATGGTGGTAAGAAAGTGGATGAAGAGAAAGAGAAGTTTTTAAAGACATATCTTATGCTCTATTATCTTTAGGGTTTTGAATCCAAAGAAAAACCAATATTATTTGTAAGTCTGATCACGTTACAACCAAAAGAAAGACCTTAGTGGTCCATGACTAATGATATATTTGGTGATGCTGTTTAGATGAATCAGAAAGTGTTTTTATAGTCTTGCATTGTCTGCTTTTTGAAGGAAACACTAACCGTTGGGAGATACTCAGTGAGACCGTGATTCTGATTAAATGATTAATTGTTGGTCTAGACATGTTTTAAAATATTACTTTGGTCAAACAAATTATTCATCTTTATGCTATGGTTTATGGATGGCCGTGATATTAATTATTAACTTGCATTTGAAAGAATATCATGCCGTGAAAATAATTTCAAAATTCTTGACCTGAGTTAGTTAACTTTTTGAATGAAACATTCACTCAAAAGATTTTTGGACCATTTGATTGATTTTGTTTGAGGACAACAAAAAGATAAGTTAGAAAGATTTGATAAGTGCCAAAAATATGTAAAATATGTAGGCACTAGTAACTTATTTTACAAGCAATCAATATAAAACCTCACATTTAACTGTGATAAATGATAAAACATCTATGTAGACTTCTCTAGCTTGTATCAACTAAAAACAGGTAAAAAGTACTGCAAAACCATGATGCAACATGCAAATACCAAGACAAAGCAAAACTCTAAAATTCAAGGCTCGCTAGGCCACGAGTGCGCTAGGTGAGCTCAAGGGGCTAGATAGGACTTCCAGGTTCAAGTACTTCATGGTGAAGAAAGAGTTTGTGCGTTAAACATATAGGCGATTGGCTAACCAAGGCAATGCGGCTAGGGCCACCTTTCAGAGAACTAGCATTGCTTAATCTAAAAGAAATCAAGCTTGCTAGGCACATGGGCGATGCACCTAGTGAGAGCCCAAAGTTCTTGCTTGTAAATATATGCTTCCAATTTAATTGTAGAGGAGTCTTAGTGGAGTGATGTAGTACAAAATTGGAGTGGGTTCACCTTAGTCTAAAACAAGAGAATATGAGAGGGAGCTTGAAGGCGAAAGCGCTGCTCAAGTTATAATGCAAATAAGCTTCCAAGCTCAGATCCGTGGGATATTGAAACTTCTACGATGAGTAAGTGTATATAAAAATATCGATGTTGAGGGTTAGATGTAGTCATTATATTCATGTATCAAATATGTCATGACGTTTTATGTAATTCTACTCAAACTTTAATATTGATGACTTTTTAATCTTAATGCATGTTTTAGTTTTGCTACATAAATCTTGTTTTCATGGTATATGAATTGATATTCGAAATTTGCTTGTCATTATTAGATCTAAGATAGTCATATATTGGATCCTAATTCATAGACATAGGGTTAGGTTCAATATTCGTATGTATTGTAGAAGAATCGTGCAGAGTCTTATTGCTTTATAACTGTTGGAACATAATGCTTTGTGTTGTTTAAAAGACCGAGATAATACACTGATATCACAACTTTGAGACCAACATAAGATACGAATGAAAGCAACATGTGGTAAATCAATAGCTCGGTAGAGGATCATATTACTGAACTATGATTATGCATGATAAATGTGTAATGACGAAATATATCCCTAACGAGCTTTCTTACTATTAACACCGACATCTCCACACTTTACTTTCTGTAATTTACTTTCATACTTATAATCTTTAAACCGTTGAATGGTCTTTGAAGCCACCAGACTCTGTGGGTACAATAATTTTAAAACATACTTTTGTGTTTAACGCAACAATTTCCAAGTAATATCAGTTGAGGGAAGAATAAGGTTTCCACTACTCCCGTGTTTCTGATCATGGAATAGCAGAAACCACTTCTTGGCTTTCTATAAATACCTCAGTTCATAATTAAGGAGGCGTCAATCTCTTATTCACGGAGATACCACATATATCTTCTCATTCCCTATGCAAGCTAGCTCTAAACTCTACAACAAACCCAAAAAGTCTTTGGCAACCCTTAATCACTTAGGGTTGTCATTTGTTATACTTTTAGTAAGTAAATATGATAACCCATTAAAGCATACACCTCTACCAACATATTTGTACAATAAACAATAGCAAATCCAATGAAAGGATGATATTTATCCACCCTAAGAAAGGTAATTGTTGTGCGAGTGTGAGAGGATAAAGTCATATATCTTCTATGAATGGGTGAAATATTAAATTTATAAATGAAAAGACTCATTTACCTAATGCTTTAAGGTTTATGGTAGAGATATGATGTCTCTCTCTTATAGTCATAGAACATTCATTTGTGCTTTCAACTTTCCCGAACTTCACAATAGTGGTATCAAGATCGTGACTTGTTTGACTTAGTGGAGAAGTGAGAGTTGGATCTGGTGTTTGATCATGTTATATAATATGGAAGACTCACACTTGCGGGGGAGAATGTTGAATGGTTAAAATCCCACATCTCCTATAAATGGGTGAAATATTAGATTTATAAGAGAGATGATCAATTTACCTAATGCCTTAATGTTTTGGGTGGAGACGTGACATCTCCCTATCTTCTCTTCGAGAAACATTAATTGTAATAATAATTTAAATAACAATCATATATTTGTATCTTACAACGATTCTAGTTCATTTTCAATATAATTTTTTTTTTAATTCTATAGTGAGTCTTTTTCAACTTAACCGAAACTTTTGAATTTAAACTCAATAAAAAATAAAATAAAAACATATTTTAACAATTAAAATCCAATAATAATTTTCAATAAAAAAACAAACTCAATAATAATTAAAAACCCTAAAATAACAAAAATGAGACACTCCAGTAACATTTCCGTTGCATCAATATAAACAAATTTCGCACTGAACACGGCCGCCGGAAAGCGCAGTCGGAGTTAGCTCATCAGCCGTCAAGAACAGCGAGAAACTCGTCCAGGTTTTCGCTATTTATCAGGATTTTCCTCCCCCTCTCCTCTAGCACTTACCAGGATTCTATCACAGCGCGATTTGCGGCCGCAATGAAATAATTGCGCCTCAGCAAAGCGGAGCTCCACTCCGCACCGCCATCGACAGCATAGAAGTGTTGTTAACTATTAGTTATCAATATAATCAACTCACAGTTCAAAAGTTGTTAACTTGAATAGCTTACGATTTTGGTTTTCAATTCAATGTACGATTTTTTGAAATGATTATTTGAAGTATAAAATGTTAATGTTATGAATTTTTCGGAATATTTGTTAATAACTACTGGGTAATGTGATGATAGGTTTGATTTTAATAACAGTATTTTTTCGGAGATGTTTAGGGTTTTATTTTGATGTGAAGTGTGATTGTAGGGTAGAAAGATTCAGAGAAGAATATGAATAAGGATAAGATATTCAAGCTAGCGAAGGGGTTCAGGGGGAGAGCAAAGAACTGCATTCGGATTGCAAGGGAGAGAGTGGAGAAGGCATTGCAATATTCCTATAGGGACCGACGTACCAAAAAGAGGGACATGCGATCCCTTTGGATTCAACGGATTAATGCTGGCACTCGTGTTCACGGTGTATGTCTTCTTTTATCATTTCTCTTCTTAACTCATTATTTTTTACCCTCCAATTCAATGCTTCACCGAGATACATAATGGTCTGATTAGTTTAACAAAATGTTTTGTTTCTTATTTTCTATTTTCTATTTTCTTTCACTAATAGTTTTAAAAACAATACCTTGATTTTGTATGAAATGGTAAAAATATTGTCTCCTATACAAATATTTGAAAACACAACAACGGTGAAATCAATATGACATATCAAGTTGGTACTGGTAATAGTTTGAGAAAATGAGTTAATTGAATGTAATTACATGTATTGGTCTTATCGGTGTTGAACACGTGCCACACCTTCAATTTGGAGTGTGTGTGCGCTACAGAGCACACATATATGTAATTATTAGTCAAAATCAGAAATATAAGTAACAAATATATTGTCGTGCCAAACAAACCTTAATATTTCTCCTGCTGTTTTCATCAAACTTTAGTTATTGATTAACATCTTGGAGATGGAATTATGATCATTGATCTTGTTGTCACTCTGAGACCTACATGTCCAGCGTAAGTACTATATCTACTTGAAATGCTCGGCAGGAAAAACTACACACTATTTTTTAAATGATTGCTTCTTTAAATAGTCTACATGCAGAATATATAGTCATATTATTGTGGTACCATTCCAAAAGAAAATTTTATGATTTGCCATGATGTTACATGAGAATCTTTGCTTTAGCATTGTTTGGAAACTGAGACTGATTTCCTACTCCTCAGTTTTGTGCTTATCTTTCTCGTGTTAGCCATATGTGGTTTGTTAAATCACTTTAATCAAACGATTCCCTTCCCTAGTCTAAAATATCCGGGATCTTCAAAACTTGAATGTGCTTTTGTTTGCCTTCTATTGCTCTGTCATCAATTCCTTTTCACTTAAAGCTCGGTTCATTTTAAATGAGTTTCTTAGATATGAGTTGATTGACTTAGAAGTAAGTTTGAAATTTGATTTGTTAAGTGAACATGCTTCTGGATACAAAAATAACCATGGAGTGCATAGTGCTTAGTGCATACCACATGTATGAATGATACTTTCTATCCTCAAAAATGATAATATTAAGTGAAATTGCATCTGGAATGTGTAAATTTTCTCTCATATGTTAATACGTCCATGGCTCCTTTTATGTTTGAGTTCTATGTGAAGCATGTGCCTTCCTGTTCTTCTGCATGCTCTATGGGTGTCTGTAATCTTCTGACAGTTCCTTTGTCGATTAATTTTATTTTATTTTTTTGTTTTCTCTTTTGCAGGTCAATTATGGGAATTTCATGCATGGGCTAAATAAGGAGAATATTCAACTTAACAGAAAGGTTTTGTCTGAGATATCTATGCATGAACCCTACAGTTTCAAGTCACTGGTAGACATATCTCGAAATGCATTTCCTGGAAACAAGAACGTGGTCCTCCCTCCAAGAAAGGTGTCCTTTTAGAACATTTGGCACTTTAGCAAACATTTATATGTAGTTTATGTCAGAATGGTTAAGAAAGCTAGGATTTCGGGTTTAGTACACTTCACATGATGATAAGTTTTGTATGCCTATGATTCATACATACTTCATAACCACATGATTTCTTCCTTCTGGTTTTTCTTTCACTTGCTTTGAAATCTGTATTATTGTATGAATTGGCTTTGTGGAACTTTTGCTGCCATTAGACTCCATCATAAAAAATAGATTTTTTTCAGCATAGCAAAATTTATATTTCTTTCTAAATCAAAAATCACATGTTTATGGTGTTGGGAGAGTTGGTATTATGACTCCTAGAAAAAAAAAGCAATTAAATTTCTTGAGTTACTCTCGGGACGAAACCTGACACCTAACACTGTCAAAAACATGATGTCCCGATGCAGACTTGTGAATTAATCTAACAACAGTAGCTGAATAATTTTTATGACAAAAACCCGAGGCCAAAATGGATATAATGGCACCTTAGTTAAGGTTTGATGCAACAAGAAACTATGAATGTGATCATAACTTTTACCAACCTTTGGCAGTAGCCAAACTCATATGATCAATCTAGCTAGCCATTGTGATCCAAGCAGTAATAGATGCACTAGCTTAAACTTAGACATCAAATTCTATCAAGCAAAAAGCATCAAAGTATTGTTATTATGAGGAGGTGCTGAGCCATTGTGATCCAAGCAGTAATAGATGCACTAGCTTAAACTTAGACATCAAATTCTATCAAGCAAAAAGCATCAAAGTATTGTTATTATGAGGAGGTGCTGGAAGCAACTCAGTTGCATCTGTAGCAACTTATCTTTGCAATAACTTATGGGGGTGGACAATCTTTGTCTCACCCTCTTGGCCCTCGGTGGCACCGACTTTGATAATGAAGAAGGATCAAACCAACATTGGGGTGATCTTGCTAGGTATCTTAAAGGGTATAATGAATAAAAGCTTGCAGGGTTCATTTCCTGATGCTTGGATAGGAAATTCCCTTGCAACAGGCCTTTTATTTTTATTTTTATTATGTTTAGGTACAATTTTACAATAAACCTCCTTGCTAATACAATCCTGGTGAAACGAGCAACTTGAAAATGCATATGCATGAAACAGTGTATATCAGGTATTCATGCAAACAAGATATTCTTGAAATCTCTCTCACAAAAGCAGGTTACTTCAGAGATTCAATTTCAGAAATCTAAATTCATTATTTATGTAATAAAGCAATTGTTATTATTATATAAGAAACTCAATTACTTGTTCAGGAGTTACATATCAAAACTGCTTTGAAAAGAAAATCATGGCCAAAAAACTATAACCAACCAAATTAAGTTGTGGAAACTAAATGAATTCAATTTTCATACTGAGATGTTTCTTTTTCTTTGAATAGATCTAGTCTTTAATTAAAACATGTATATGCCATAAGAGCATTCAGAAGAGAGAGACATCACTATAACCATTTCATTAACGAATAGTAATTATAATACATAATATCTATAAATATTGACACAAGCCTATTCACAACATGACAGTATTGCATGAAGTTCCAACATGAGAGAATCCACTCTTCTATCCACCTTGTTCTTTTCCTTGTTGCACAAGCTACCCTGCTGAGCTAGGCTGTGTCTTATTGCAACTATACCTCAAATAGCTTCAATCCACTATTATTATATGATATAAAAGCACCATTTATTTTTATTTTTTTGGGTGAATCACCACTTAATTTTTTCACCTAAAGTTAAAACCACTCCTGAAATTTCAAGGATAATGAGCACTTCTACCCCATGCTCATCTTCCACTTTAAGTATTTTTCTACAACGTCTAGTCCACAAAGTTCCTTTACCACACTTCTACCCCATGCTCATCTTCCACTTTAAGTATTTTTCTACAACGTCTAGTCCACAAAGTTCCTTTACCACAGGCATGTTTGCAGGAACCCCCAACTGAAATGTTGAATCTGATTCATCCATGTTGCTCCATGAAAGAAGCTGTTTCCTTGCTTCTTTGATTGCTGCTCTTGTGGCACAATGAACCGAAGCTGCTAGAAGTAGGGGTGGCTCGCCAGAAGCTGCAACACAAATTTCATTTAATTTTTCAATTAATATTTATAAACTAGTAAATCCCATTCAGTGAGAGAAGGTTTCAACTGTTGTAAACACATCTAATTTTATTTATGCATGTACAGAATATCCATCCTTGATTTGTTAGTTAATCAATGGTTACATGAAGACATAATTTAATGCATAGCCATCATTTTAAGAACTTGATCCATACCCTTTGAGGAAAGCACGCGATGCTGGTGATGCCCACTGTTGAGAATTTGAACATTAAACTGTTGAGGGATAGTGTCTATTGTTGGGATTTTATAGTTCCAAGTGCCGTCTGCCAATGACATACCATTATGGTCTGTTCCATATTCTTCAAGCATGAAGAACCCCAAACCCTGGACAAAAGCTCCTTCAATCTGCAGGGTGGCATCATGTTGTTATTAGCTGATTCAGGAAAACAGACCAAACAAGCCCATTTTTTGCTTGCACATTTACCTTACAGTGTTTGGTTCAAAGGAGGGTACAAAAAATAAGCCTCTTCTAGATTGGTTTGCTAGGGGAGAGAAGAAAAAATAAATTTCTTTCCTTTTCCCATCAAAGGTTGTGAGCAGGAAAGAGGAATTAATTGGACCTTGGATTTCTAAAACATCAATAATTTTGAAACAAAAATAGAAGACTAAAATATCAATAGTTACAGCACCATGCAAATATTTAGCATACCTGTCCTAAATCCACAGCAGGATTGAGACTCTGTCCACAATCATAGATGATATCCGTTTGAAGAAATCTGGTTCCTCCAGTCAGAAGATCTATTTCCACCTGAGATATAATTTCCATTATTTAGAACGTAATAATATAATAATTCAGCTCAGTTACTTCAGTGATATGGCTCCTGTGACAATTTAAGTATCTAACATTCAAAAGAACTAGCTTTCAATGAACTTATACATTAAGGGTTGAGATGTGCATAAGAAAACACACCTCACTTACTGCAGCACCATAATTAAGGTACATTGTCGAGTTATTGCTGGGTACGTATAATGAAGACGCTGATAAGTTCACAGATTGCATGTATGCCTGTAGATTGATAAATAGTCAGCAACATAAAATGAAAAATATATATTTGCGGGCTAGTAAAAGAAGAAAAGTAATTATCTGCCCTAAAGTTCATTGCCACACTTAGTCCCTGATTATTTTCCTGAATAGAAGGGGTTAATTATTCTCCCATAAATTGTGAACATGCTAAGTGCCACCTTCTACATACTACAAGACCTTAACAGGAAAAGGCTGAGACAATATAAATGCTAAGATGTATCGCATGCACAGTTATAAATACTACAATACATTCATCAATATGAAACGAAAAATACAAGTTTCTAGAACTTGCCGCTGACAGCAGTAAAATTTAAACATATCAACAGTTTTTCCATATAGATCATAAAGTGAGAAAACAGAAAAAGTACCACTTTCATCAGGTTACAATCATGATTAGGATGTTCTCGGAACTTGCTCAAGAGAAAAATCTATAGATATTTGAAATTAAGCTCTATTAGTTAGTAGTAATGCAGCTACCTGAAGAATAAGTGTCTCCCACTTGATAGAGCCCATTTCTTCCTGCAGCTTTTCCTTGAGAGGCTTCAACCTTTCAACCAAGGTACCACAGCTAAGCCTGACTGCTTCACAGCATGTCTCTGAAGTGGTGCTCCCAGCAGTGAACCCCCCTTGAATCAAGCTCACCGTGTCAGCTTGTATAACCCTTACTTTGTCTAAGAGACTTTCAGTTTCATTACATTGAATTGTACCGAGGGCAAATGCAGCCATTTGTTTCACCTTTGTCCATAGACCCTGACCCAGTTCAATTCCTCCAACTTCAACAACAACAGACCCATCCGACAAAATACTTACTTTTCCAGGAGTTGGTCTAAGAGACAGTTGATACACAACTGGTACTCGGGAAATTCCCCTTTTTCTCCAAATATTAATTCTGTTAAACTCTTTCACCATTTTGGTTCTTTGTTCATAATTTGCAGAAACAGCTAACTTACTCCATATTGAAGGCAGTGTATACTCAAAAGGTTCGCCATAACAATGATCATAGAATGACTGAAGACTTCTGTGTGTGTGAAGATTAATGCTTCTGACAGAATCTACATCTATTGAAAGTGTAGCTGCAACATTTTCTATAATATGTTCAGCGATAAATGATCCCTGCATTTCCCCAGGGCCCCTCATTGCAGATCTACTGGGAAGATTTGTTCGGCATACCTTTATATCAAAAGATAGTGCACCCCAGTCATACTTTTTTAGTGCTGTAACTATGTTATGTGGCATTGATACACTTATATCCATATATATACCAGCATCGACTAATATCTCAAGCTCTAATGCAGTTATTTTCCCATCATTCTTAAACCCAGCACTGTATGTAATCTTCATGGGATGTCTTCCTCCAGCCAATATCATATCGGTCTTTCGATTCAGATACATCCTGACAGGGCGACATAATTTCTGTGCTGCGAGTGCACAAGCTGCAGCAGTCTGCATGATATGGTTGTCAGTACTTGGGATATATTTGTATGTATACATAGTTTTCATGCATAATTTCTACTTATAAATACTCCTTCCATTCCTTTTTACTTGTCTTATTAAGGTCATTGATACATACCAACCAAATCAATAAAATTTATCATTATTTTTTACAAAATTATTCGTCTTTTTCCAGTAAGACCCTTAACTATTTATTATTTCATATCACTTATTTATAACTGCAAATAATACTCATGGTATTATTGACAAAATAATAATTAATGCTGCATTGAAGTTTAAAAATGACAAGTAAATAGTAACAAAGTATTACTACAAAAGCGACAAGTAAAAAGGTACAGAGGAGTAACTTCTACTATATCAAATATGAGGTAGAAAAAGTGAGAGGCTAAA